CTAATGATATCAAAAGTAGACATATTTGTCATACAGTTACTAATGTATGTTGAATGAAAATACATGGTACATGAGTTGCACCTAAGAGCCGAAATGGAAATTAATCAACTTATTATGAATTCCATGGATTGCACACATAGTGCTGATATGGTAATTCACAAACTCGTTATGAATGACGTGGGTTGCTTACAGAGTGTCGATACAGTAATTCAAAAACTCATTATGAATACCGTGGGTTAAACACATAGTGTCGATACGGTAATTCACAAATTCATTATGAATTCTGTGGGTTGCACACATAGTGTCGATACGGTAATTCACAAACTCATTATAAATGACGTGGGTTGCACACATAGTGCCAATACGATAATTCAAAAACTCATTATGAATTATGTGAGTTGCACATTTAGTGTCGATAGTACATATAGTATTGATATAACAATGCAACATATGTATAAAACAAAATGCACCTATGACTCTCAATGTACAAAATAAATGCACTCACCTGGTTTGCCTCACTATTATGCCCTAATGATGTCCGACTATTCTGCAACTTTATCCTAGCATTTCTGTTTGCTTGACTCAGGAGTTTGATTACGATCTACACAAGCATCCATAATCACATATTATACAAATTTTAGTATATTTCGTATCATTTATCCAAAGTAATAATACTCAAAAGTACTATTAATTTCGAATTCTATTAAAATTCACCCTAACTGAACATTTCAGACTGAATGGTATTGATACCCCTCTTATAGTATCGACACTTTTCTTCTATAGTACCGATACCCACTTTGGTTTCGATACCATTTTAGCATTTTGGAATTTCATTTTTTATTACGGTATCGATACCTTTCTCTTGGTATCGATCTACACCTCAATATCGATACTTCTTTAAATTGGTATCGATATTGTTCATCCAAATCCTCCACTTTAACCTTATAGTATCAGTATTGTTCTTACAGTACCAACACCCTTACCTAGAGTTTACCTCTTTTACTTCGAATTTCACACAAATTTCACCTAAATCTTTTACTCTTATCTCCAACAATACCATTAAACTCATTATCACATAACCAAACTAACTTACATCCATAAATCTTCGTATAACATCCAAAATCTCCAAAGAACACCCAATACTAATAATCACACCCAAAGTTCAAACATGTTTTCAAACACTTCTAAGGCTCCAAATATCTTATTTACTTATTTGACAAGTAAAAAATGCTTTTAAACTCCAATAAATGACCCTATTTTATCAAATCACTTAAAACTCTATTTTATTAAATCTTTAATAATCATTAATCTCTTAGTTTTAATCATCCTTGAACTTTCCTTAAGCCTCTATATCACTTAAGGCTTCTAAACCAACCCATAAAAGAAAGGAAAACCAACTTGAAGAAATCTTACCTTTGTTATGGAGGGCACGGGGGCAATGAGAAGAAGAAGAAGAGCAGAGAACCAAATATTTTAGCTTTTAACCTTTTCCCCTTATCCACTTAATAAGTATCCCTAAAAGAATGAATATTAAATTCATTTCCTTCTAAAAGACCATAATGCCCCTCTATTCTTCCATTCTTACTAATAAGTCTTAAACACAATTTCTTAAATAAATACTTGTACTTTTAATTTATTCAAATTAACCCACAAAATTTTAAATCCTTTCACTATAATCACTAACCCGATGTTTGGGGTATTACATCACTGACCCGATGTTTGGGGTATTACAATTTTCCCCTTAAGAAAATTTGTCATCAAATTTTTCACTACACAAAGAGATGAGGAAATTGTCTTCTCATATCCTCCTCACTCTCCCATGTTGCGTCTTCCACTTTGTGATTTCTCCAAAGAACTTTAACTAACAAAATTGTCTTGTTCCTTAGTTGTTTGAATTCATGTGCTAAAATCTGCACTAGTTCTTCCTCATAGGTCAGATCAGATTGTACTTCTATATCTTCCAGTGCTATGATGTGATAAAGATCTGATCGTTATCTTCTAAGCATCGAAACATGAAAAACATTATGGATCTTCTCCATTTCTGGGGGAAATGCTAACTGATATACTACTGGTTCAACTCTTTTTAAAATCTCATAGGGCCCAATGAATCGTGGACTTAGTTTTCCTTTTCGTCCAAAACGGAGAATTTTATTCCAGGGAGAGACTTTCAAAAATACTTTATCTCCTACTTTATACTTAATATCCTTTCTTTTCAAATCCGCGCAGGACTTTTGTCTGTCTGCTACCACTTTAATGTTATTTTGTATCATTTGAACCTTTTCTTCTAGTTCTTTAATCAAGTCAGGACCAAGAACATCCCGATCTTTTAATTCGTACCAATTAAGTGGCGTTCTACATTTTCTTCCATACAACACTTCATATGGTGAGCGATGTTATATTTACATTGATCATAAAAGTTTAAAGCATTTGCTGATTCAAAAGGAGTTAAACTTGAGACAAAGAAGATGAAGATAGATCTCTTTAGGTTTTTCGTTCCCTTTTCTTTCTATTCATCACATGTTATATTAACATAAAATGAATTTTAAATTTATTTTATGTCAAAAGACCACTTTGCCCTTAAATTCTTCAATCTTTGATAATAGGTCCTAAACAAAAAAAATTTCTCAATCAATACTTGAACATTTCAATTTATCAAAATTAAACCGTTAAATTTTAAATCCTTACACTTTAGTCACTAACCCAATGTTTGGGGTATTACACTTATATACATACCTAGGGTGATGAAAGTTATTTTTAGATCGGTTGACTAATTTGATTTGGTTATCAGATAATAAATTTAGGTGATCACGTGGGCCTTTCAGTGATTATGTCAAGGATTTTTAATTGGCCAGATAATAAGAAACTCTGAAAGTTTTGAGGAACTCCAAAGATTTTTATAGAAAAAAATGATAGCGTGAGAGATCCAAAAAATTACAAAAAATAATTGATAATGTAGTTAAAAAAATCATGATGTTGAAACAGACAAAGTTCAGCTTACATTAACTAACACTCAATGGAAGGAACAAGTTGCCGATGTGCCAGCTATAGAGAAAGGAGAAATAAGAAGAGAAAGGAGAAGTACTAACGTCCTTCCACCACTTTCTTCACACACACACATACACACATAAGCTCCCTTTCTGGTTTAACTTCTTTACTGTTCATTATCTCATTCAACACTAAACCACCATATGTGATTCTCCGCCCAAATCAAAAGGAATGAACTGTAAAAAACCTCCATAATCACATTCTCCCATCAACATCAATTAGTATTTTTCTATTTGATAATCAAATTGATTTTTTAAATTTAATTATTAATATTATATTTTTATCACTGATCTTTAAAATTTTTAAAAATATGATGATATGACATGTTATAATTTTAATTTTAATCTCAAAATTTATAAATTATATTAATTAGATCATAAGACTAAATAAATCATCAATTTAATCCTACCAAACTTCAATTTCAAATTTTCCAATTTTCTCTATACTATATTTCCTATAAAAAATTATTATTTCTTCTTTCTTTCTTTTTATTTCTCTCCTTTGAAACCTAATGCCACTATCAATCTTGCTTTAGTGAATTTTTTTGATAAAGTTCAATTACAAATCAACTTATCTCAGTTCTCTTTTTCTATCTTCAGATTAATATTTTAGGAACTCAACTTAAATACAACTAAATTTGTTTAGAATTTTAACTTGTTCTTGTTTGATTTGTTATTTTGATCGTTAGATCATTGTGTGTCCGAGATATGTTGTCCCATTATCAAATTAGACTTTCTTACCATTACAATAAAAAAGATAATACTTGATCACGTTAACTAAGAAAGGTCAAACATTTTTTTAGTGGTTTGATTTTTTTACCTTTTCTTTATTTTCTTTCTTTCTTTGAATGTTGTAGGTGATGGTATGAGTATGTGGAGATTTGGTTAGGTTAAGGTATTGAAAGTTAATAGCAATGATGGTTTCATGTAAGTGGTGACTTTGAGGCAATGAAATGGTAAAAGTGGGGTTTGATGATGAGATAATTGAATGATGAGAGTGATGGTGAAGATTGAATAGTAAGTTGTTGTAAGATTGAAGGTAAATGAATTTTCTCTTAGAAAATTGAGGGTTTGATAAATGGATCTTTATTTATTTTATGTTTAATTTTATTTGTAGGCTACCGATGTGTTTAGAAAATAATTTTTTTATTTGTTTTGTGTTTGATTAGATTCTTGGGTTTTCTATGTGTTTGGTAAATCGATTTCCCTGATTATTCTTAGTATTGATAAATTTTCGTTAAAAGCCATAGAGATGAGTGATGAAGACAATGTGGAGATCAAGGTTCATCATCATTTTTTGAGCTTAAGAAAACCCATATTTAGAAACAAAATAAATTGGATTTGTGTTTAATAATTGTTATATTAACTAAAAAGGAAATTTTAAGGAAAATTAAAATAATAGTGCTACATTTATTTTATATTTTGAATAATGAACAAATTGATAAACTATATAAATTTTGAGAACTAAAACTACTGTTATATAAGACAATGTCACCCGGTACATACGTAAGAATTTTACGTTAGGGTGCAAATTTCTAAAATTTTAGGAAGAGATGAACTTATAAAATTTTAGGGAGTAAAAACAATTTTTCAATAGAAAATACATAAAAAAATTAAAATATAATGTAATTTTAAAATTATCCCCACGTCCATTCTTGAATGTCACCAACTTTGGAAAACTTAGCTGTCAATGGTTTAAATAGAGAGAATAACCATGATAACCAAATTTACAAAAAAAAAAATAGTGATTTAAGTAGAAAATAACTAATGGTTGTAGTTTATCCTTTTTTTTTACGTAAAATATGCATATCTTAATCATTAATGTGAACTGCGCATATCTCATGACCACTGACCTGTCATTTATCTTCCTCATCTTCTGAAGAAGAAAACAAACAATACAGCAAAACATGAGATCTCTTGAAGGCATTTGAACAAAAGAATCAATCCTCTATAGTCATTGTTTAATATTACAGTCTGGAATCCGATATCAAGCCATCGAAAGTAGAAAACAGCGAACACGATCTGCCCATACGAAATTATAGAAGAATGCAAAGCTGATATCAGTACAAGGTTCAACCGGTTTTCGATCTATTACTTTAATAACCGGGAAATGAATTCCCTCTCTCGTAGCCTCTTCTTCCTGTCCAGTTTAACGAAGTAGAAAAGGTGTTTAATGCTTTGTAACGCTCTCAAGAACTTCAAAATAGTTGGGGAAGGTTTTCCATGAACAACCAGGATCCCTGATGGTAACTGGAACTTCGGCACAGGCAGCGAGGGAAAAAGCCATGGCCATTCGGTGATCATCATAAGTATCGATAGCTGTCATGTTTAATTTCTCAGGAGGAGTGATCACACAATAATCCAGTCCTTCAACTGTTGCTCCGAGCTGCAATATTAATCCGAACAAAGAAGTAAGAACAATTGCCTAACCAGCACCATCTAAAAGTTACTAATGTGCGTAAAGCTAGAATCTACCTTCCTGAGTTCAGTACAGATTGCAAGCATCCTTTCAGTCTCTTTAACCCTCCAACATGCCACTGAATACAAATCATGGAAGATATGATCAAAGAATCGTACAAAGGCTGTCGATGGTCTTTAGTCGAGAAAAAAACAATAGACACACTTTTTCAAAGTGAGAAGCAAAAAACAAGATCATACCATCTCTAATTGCGGTAGGACCATCAGCATAAAGGGCAACAGCGAGAGTCATGGCAACAACTGGCATTTTGTTCATGTTAACATCGACCGCATGCAAGTGTTTCCTTCCAGAGGAATTTCTCGGTGGTCCAGTTACAGTAACGCTGTTCTCCGTCCAGGTGACTTTGGCACCCATCTTCTCTAGAACCTCGGCAAATTTTACATCACCCTTAACCAAAAGAAAAATCAAGAAAAGCAAGCATGACCATGACAATGATAACTTTAATGGAAAAAGCATTTGTAAAATCGACAAAATAAGGATTCAAGGGAAACGTCAACGACAGTCAAAGCAATTCAAAAACGCTTTTGGAAGGCACAAAACGATATTGTAAGTAATCAAAACCAAATACATCCACTCATACCAAAATATCATTTAATTTGGTTGGGAACTTATTACCTTTCATGGACTTCACGATAAAATGTACCTGTAAACTAATTGTACCACATCCTTCTACAGTGACTGTCCCACCAGTGACTGCAGCACCCGCAAGGAAGTAACTAGCACTTGAAGCATCACCTTCGACATAAGCATTTCCAGGAGTCCTGAAAGATTATATCAGTTTATGATTTGTAGTCCAAACAGACTATTATACAACAATACTGCTACCGTGCTACGTACATGTGTAAATCATAGAAACCTACATGTACTTTTGACCTCCTTTTATCAAAAACCGATCCCAGCTATCCGTGTGCTCCACACTGACCCCAAACCTTTCCATCAATTTCATAGTCATTTCAACATATGGGATTGAAATTAGCTTATCAATTATCTCAATTTCCACATCCCCAAGAGCCAGAGGAGCTGCCATGAGTAAAGCAGTCAAGTATTGACTACTGATTGATCCTGAGAGTTTCACCTGCGAAAGTAGCCAAGAAGTTTACATGAATATCGGCAACAAAATCCAGAAGTTATGTTTACGGTCTTTTTCCTTTTCATCAAAATATAGCCCTTCTCCTTCATGCAGCCTATAAGTTAAAAGAAGCAAGAGCACACAGTTTGGACATCACAAACAGTCAAAGTTTCAGACATTTAAGAAATAATGAATGTGATTAGAAAGGAAGAAGAATTTAAAACCATGGGCTCCTTTATCAACAGAGCTAAACGATGATATGTGCCACATTAATGATTAATGTTAATCAGTTAACAAGTTCATCATTCCCATGTATACTCGAAAAGCAACATTAGAATAACACCTGGCAAGCACACATTGGAGAATTCACGAAAAAAGTATATTCTCAAAAGGTTTTGCAGCTGCCATATTCTTATTTGACCACTGACCAGACATAATTACAACCGAATTGACATCTATGCATCCGGAGATGGTGACACGTTGGGTTTATGAGAATGGCGATTGACAGTTTAACTTAAAATAATATTATTGCTTGATGACATGGAATGGGAGCTCATTTCTAGTAGCAGCTTATGTGGCTTCCTGTATCTACTTTAGAAAAGCAGCTTCTGAAGCGATTCTAGGATGACCTTTACAAAACAGTTTACCCGACAATATAAAACCACGAAAACATAATAGAAATGATCTGAGCCATACCTTTCCCCCAGGAAGACCGCCCTTTCCATTTATATAAACAGGGGGATAATTAGTGCCAAGAGTGCATTCATGTTGAATGATCAAGATAGCTAAGCTACAACAGAAGCAAGGACTGAATGCTTTCTTTCTTGATTTCAATTCATCCTTTACAGCCTATATATAGTTCCAAGCAAACAATCAGTTACACATTTGTTACAACTACTAACAGACACTCAACAGCCTAACTGACTAACACCTTAACTGCCTCAACTACACAAACACAACCAGCAGCATCTACTAGCTGCATCTCAGCCACATGGGTGAGGACTGCACCACGAGCAAGCACATTCCAACATTCTCCCTACTTTCTCTCCGCCCCTGCTTTTTCAACACATCTTCACACACAGCTTTTCTCGAAATTCTTCAAAGGCATTTCGAGCTAGCGGCTTGGTTAGACCATCAGCAACCTGATGAGCAGCAGGCACGTAGTTAACTTGCATTTGTTTCGCTACAACCTTCTCTCGCACGAAATGAATATCAAGGTCAATATGCTTGGTGTGTGTATGATGGACAGGGTTTGCGCTCATAGCCACAGCGCTCGTGTTGTCACACCATATGATCGGTTCTTCCTTTTGGCACACACCAAGCTCTGCAAGTAATGCACTAACCCAAACCACGTCTGTTGCAGTGTCAGCCACGCTTTTGTATTCTGCCCCCATTGTGGATCGCGAGACAAACTTTTGTTTCTTGGAGCTCCAAACGACCAAGTTATTGCCAATAAAGACACCATGCCTGGACACCGACCTCCTGTCATTGAGGTTGCCTCCCCAATCTGCATCGGCAAATGCAACAACTTTCACCCCAGCACCAGCAGCAGTAAAAACCAGACCAAAGTTCATTCGTTCCTGCCAAGTAACGTAAAATCCGTTTTACTGCAACCATGTGTGACTGTCGTGGTGCATGCATATATTGGGCCACTTTATTTACACAAAATTCGATGTTCGGTTTTATGTGGCAAACATAAATCAATCCTCCAACGATGCTGCGATAGTTGTACGCATCAGGAATGAGTTCTCCTTCATCACTGAGTAATTTGGAGACTGCAACCATGGGAGTCGGTGTAGGTGTGGCTTTTAACATATCTGCTTTTTCCAGAAGTTCAGTGATAAACTTCTTCTGTGACAAGGCTAGATATTCATCTGTTCTTCTTACTTCGATGCCAAGAAAGTATGAAAGCTGTCCGAGGTCCTTAAGTGAAAATCTATTACTCAACAGTCGAACAACTTCATTTATTTCATCGTTCGAGTGGCCTGTGATGATTATGTCATCAACATACACCAGTAGATAAACATAGTTCTCACCCTTCTTCTTGATGAACAGCGAGACATCAGGTCGTGACTCTTGGAACCCAATACTTAGCAAGTTGTCTCGAAGCTTGGAGTGCCAGCTTCTCGGTGCTTGTCTTAGGCCATAAAGTGCCTTTTTTAGTCGACAGACCAGCTTGCTGCCATCAGGAGCAGTCTGTTCAAAGCCTGGTGGCTGTTGCATGAAGACTACTTCTTGAAGCTCACCGTTCAAGAAGGCATTGTTGACATCCACTTGTCGAAGTGCCCAACCGTTAGTCACTGCCAACGACAGAATGACATTCAAGGTGGTGAACTTAACCACATGGCTGAAGGTATCTCTGAAATCGTACCCAGGAATTTGTGAGAATCCCATAGCAACCAGACGTGTTTTGTAACGATGAATTGAACCATCGGGGTTCTTCTTGAGCCTGAACAGCCATTTACAGCCAACCTCTTTTCTTCCTTCTGGTAACTTGACTAACTCCCAAGTCTCATTACGTTGCAACGCATTATATTCTTCATATACAGCTGCCTTCCATTCCGAGATTTGAAACGCTTCACGTACAGTGCATGGAACATAATCCAGAACATACCCTATGTAAGCTTTGGGTTTGTAGACTCCACACTTGCTCCGAGTTAGCATGGAATGAGTATTGCCACGAAGTTTTATAGGTTGAACGTTATGCTCGCTGTCTTCATCATCAGCATGTTGATTTGCAGGGGATTCATTAGTAGGTTGACTGACAGTATCACCGTTTGCTTCCAAGCTGCCAGAGTGTTGTTCTGAACTGACTTCATGATCATCGTTTCCACTATTGGCATAAGTATCCATAAGCAGCTGATTATCAGGCATGTGTTCAATATTTTCTTCCAAACCACGAGTGGCAGCTGTTGCTTGCCTGCCACTTGATGCATTTCTGCTCGTACTTGTAGGTTGCCTACTGAATTCACATTGCTGAGTCCTGAATTTGGTGACATCAGTGACTGCCTCAAGTGACTGAGAATGTTTCATATTCGAGCCTGTCATAGAGCTCCTGTTGAAATCACCTGCAAAAGGAAACACGTCCTCATTAAATACCACGTGCCTAGAGACATATATACGTCCATCTCTAGCTAAGCACTGAAACCCCTTGTGATGCACGCTGTAACCAAGGAATGTGCACACTTGAGACCGAAATTCTAATTTGTGATGCAAGAATGGCTTTAGATGAGGGAAGCACCTGCAACCAAATACTCTCAAGCCATTGTAATCAGGAGTCTTGCCATACAGGACCTCAAAAGGTGACTTGTCATTCAACATTCTTGATGGCAACCTGTTAATCAAGTGGACTGTAGTTTGAACAGCATAGGACCAGAACTTAATAGGCATGGATGCCTGAGCAAGTAGAACAAGGGCCATCTCAACAATGAGTCTGTGTTTCCGTTCGACTACACCATTTTGTTCGGAAGTGTGGGGACATGTGAGTCGATGAATCACACCGGACTTGTTTAGTTCGCCTGTCAACGGGAGAAACTCTCCTCCCCAGTCGGTTTGAAGTGCTTTAACTACACTATTGAACTGTGTAGCAACTAGCTTTTGAAAAAGCTTGAATGCTGTTACAGCTTCAGCCTTTGACTTTAGAAGGTACAACCACGTAAACCGTGTAGAAGCATCGACAAACAAGACATAGAACCGAAAGCCATTTGAAGACACGTGTGGAGGTCCCCATAGATCCGAGTAAACAAGTTGAAACGGTTCTGTGTAAGTAGTACTAGATTGGGAAAAAGGAAGCTTGTGACTCTTACCCAAGTGACAAGCCACACAATTTTTATTGATATCAAGAATAGCTTTTACATCTAATCGTTTACAAATTTTAACAAACGTGTCATAACCAGGATGTCCCAGCCTTTTATGCCAAGTTTCAGAAGTTTTGGAGGATGCTATGGCAGTATGAGCTTTGGCTTCTGCATTTCCTCTTATTGTATTGGCAGCTTTAAAGGAGTATAGGCCACCACATTCTATGCCCTGCAGTAACACGGCCTTTGTGTCTTCATCTCTAACACATCAGGGTTTAGCATGGAATTCAAGAAACATGTGGTTATCCCTAGCAAGCTTGGAAACAGAAAGTAGATTCTTAGTAATGGAGGGAACATGTAGAATATCACTTAAAGATAGAGTGCGTGAAGGGGCTTGTAATTCAGCCTTGCCAACTTTACAAACAGTCAATGAATCCCCATTCCCAACCATTAGCTTACCAGGATTGTTATAGTTTGAGTGAGAAGTAATCGACGCTGCATTAGGAGTAACGTGATGAGTCGCACCTGAGTCAATCACCCATTGTTCTTGACCAGCAGTACTAGAATGTGCCTGGTTTTGCCATGTACTTCTGTTATCATCATGATATGTATTGCCATGACTGCAGCAGCCACACGCATTACCATTGACTCCGTTGGCAGCATAATACGCTTTAGAGTTTTCAGATCCTAAGATATGATCATCAAATGTGATACCAGTAAACTCTTCATCAAACCTATGCCAGCATTGACTGACAAGGTGTCCATTTTTGCCACACAATTGGCACTGCACCTTGGGTTGAGTTCTGCCCCTGCCACGAGATCTCCCTCGAGAGTAAGCCGAGTTGTTGGTCCTATATTATTGCTTCTCACGGCTCTTGTTAGCGTCAACTTCTAGTTTTCCTTGTGCAAGATTGGCACTAACAGGTAAAGACTCAGGATGATAATCAAAGCCTTCAATTTGAGTTTCAGCATCGACGAGCATGGTACAGATGCTGTCAAGTGACAACGATTCACGCATGGCAAATATGACTGCAATGAAGGGCTGATACTCCCTTGTAAGGCCTTCAAGAATGCTAGCAACATGTTCAGATTATGGAACTGGACTGCCACAAGAAGATAATGCATCAATGACTTCTTTTATCTTGGTAAGATAAGCCCTCATGTTGTCTCCTCCTTTCTTGAGGGACTGCAGCTTGTAATGTAAACTCATTACAGCAGTAGCAGATCGGCTTGCAAAGAATTGTAGGACTTTATTCCACACCTGCGCCGATGTTTCAGCACCAACAAATTGTGGAAGTAAGTGAGGACTTACTATTGATAGTAACCAGGAAGCTAGTGCGCTGTCTTGGGCTAGAAATTCTTCATACTGTTCATTGACGATCGTGGTTCCCTCTTCACCAGCAACAGTTTCTGGGGGAGGTAGCATCGATCCAGTTAGTATCCGCTCAAGGCGATGACTGCGTACGGTGAGTAACACTTGCTGTTTCCAAAGTAGGAAATTTGACTCATCAAGAATCATGTTCACCCTTTTGCTGGTGAATGCTTTGGTGTTTTGGGTAGAGAACTCCATTGAAGTAGCTGTGGATGAGGCACTCTGATCCATAGCAGTGATCCATAGAAGCACGAGCAGCGGAAACAATCCCTAGGATATGGTAGCGAATGATACCAAGTTGAATGATCAAGATAGCTAAGCTAACAACAGAAGCAAGGACTGAATGCTTTCTTTCTTGATTTCAATTTATCCTTTACAACTTATATATAGTTCCAAGAAAACAATCAGTTACACATTTGTTACAACTACTAACAGACACTCAACAACCTAACTGACTAACACCTTAACTGCCTCAACTACACAAACACAACCAACAACATCTACTAGCTGCATCTAAGCCACATGGGTGAGGACTGCACCACGAGCAAGCTCATTCCAACAATTCAACATCAGCCCCAAGCTGCTTAAGACCAGTAACTAAGTCACCGATAGGTCTCTCTCTCATTCGAGGTACGCCATCAAGTATGTAGCTAAAAAGATGAATAGCATATAACCATTACCTCAAAAACATGATAGCTATACATGAAACAAAGAGCATTAGCATATAAGCAGATCGTTCCATGAATATGCAAATTATTTGTATACTCAACTAAAAGAATTCAGTTAAAAGCTTACATACCCTATCAACTGTTGAATTCCCTCTTATGGGGAAACATCAATGTAAAATTATTCACGGTCGCCTTATAGTATTATATCTTCATAAATCGATCTTAATTGGACAAACCTTGAATTGCCACCGGCAGCGTTAACAGCAGTAATAAGCGGTCGCATTGCAGTTCCAGCATTCCCAAGGAAGAGCTCAATTTCTTGACCGTCCCCTTTACCGACTGGAAACCGACCACCGCAACCTTCAACAATGGCTAGTTTCTTTTCACTGTCATGTGTCACATGTAGCCCAAGTTTTCCCAAAGCAATAAGCATATGATGAACATCGTCACTGTTCAACAAATTGTGTACCACATTAGTTCCCTACATATCGAATAGACATTAAAACATGAAGTAATTAAAGGGTATAAACACCAACATTAAATAGAGTAATGAAATCAATATACCTCAGATAGAGCAGCGAGAAGCAGAATCCGATTGGACAATGATTTGGAGCCGGGCAACTTGACGGTGCCCGAAATGTCATTAATGGGTTGAAGCACGATTTCCGATGCTCTAGATGGCTTCTCCGATGTTGCCATTGAAGCGGAAACCTTCAAAGACCCAACCTTTACTGCTCCCAACTTGCAATTGCTCTTCAAAACCAAACCGCAAGAAGGTGCAAAACTTGTTTTGAGAGTTGATCCAAATGAAACTGAATGTAGAGATTTGGAGATTTGGGTTTCTGGGACATTAGGCAAAACACGTGTTTTTTGTGTTTCACTGTAGATTTTGCTGACCTGTGCCATCTCTCTCTCTCACTTTACCACTGGTTCGTGCTATACAATAGTTAAACAAAAAATTCTAAATATATATTATTTTATGTTAGATTATTCAAAAGAAAATGTTAACTAAATTGTTTTACGGATATTTTGGTAGATAAGTAAATTTAACTTATAATTATATATTCAACATCGACAAAAATGAGTTGAATTAATGAAGATTAGAAGTTATATGTACCCATAACATATGTATAGACGATATATGACTAGGTATTTGGAAATTACTAACTACTAATTTTGAAGTGCATGTAAATTCTTTTGTACCCATGTTAGACAATAATTTATAGGATAACTTACATGTTTAGTATCTAAAGTTTCACTTTTAGTACGTTTTAGTACCTAAACTTTTAATTTTTACAAAATCATATATAACGTTTAGTTTTTGTTTCATTTTAATACTCGTCGTTAAAATCTTAACGACATAATTGATGTGGCATTTTTTAATTATTTTAATTTTTAATTATTATTTAATTATTATTATTCAGCTAATAAGATGGATTCTAAAATGAGCTAGCACATGTTATGGATTCTAAATGCCAAAGTATTTATTTAATTTATATCAAACTTTTACTATAAAATGAAAGAAATTTGTTAGATTTATGATTCCAACCTAGAATATCTCACAAAATATTCAAGCCTTTAATCACTAAATAAGATTAAGAATTAATTTAACAATACCAAAACTATTATTTAACATATAAAAGTATTAAATTAAAATTAAATAATTTCTCATTTTAATTTAAAATAAAAATAATTATTTATATATTTTATAAAATCAATATTATTTTTATTTAAAAATTACATGTATTGTATCATAAGTAGTTTAAAATATATGTATTTAATTATTTTAAAATTTATATTAATTTTTTTTAAATATAAACTTCTATTTTATAATTATTTATGAAAATAAATAAACAAATAATTTATATTTAAAATTATTTTAATAGTTTGAAGGATACAATATAAATTTTATTTAATATTATTTATTAACTATTAAATTAGATAAATAAATAAAAATAATAATTTAAATATTTATTTAATTATTTTCTTATTTCTAAATAATATTTTAATTGAGAAATTCTTAAATTTTTGTTTTAAATTTTTTGTAAGTCTTTTTATTATTTTTTTTTATAAGTTAAATGATAATTTTAGTATGTATTAAATTAATTCTTAATCTTATCTAGTAATTAAATATTTGAATATTTTGTGAGATGTTCTAAGTTGGAATCATAGATTTATTTAAATATATTTTGATATTTAAAACAAATTACTTGGGTTAGCTTGACGGCTATGCACTTCCCCCAATAGCCCAAGTTTAAATAGTTTATATAAGTTAGATATAAACTTCAGCAAATTGATTCCAATGACATGTCTAGCCTTGATGGTTTGCCGCCCTTTCTTACCCTGTAATAAAATTAATTCCAAATCAGGTAGCCTCCTTAAGGAGATTTTACCTTTATTTTGTTCTAATATAGTGGTGACATGTGTCATCATCTTATTAGTTAAATAAAATTAATTAAATAATAATATAAATAATAATTTAAAAATGTATAAATTATTAAGTCAGCCATGCCTACCGTTAAAAACTTAATGGCAGAGTACTAAAATAAAATAAAAACTAAACGTTAGGTATGATTTATAAATATTGAAAGTTCAAGTACTAAAATATACTAAAGGTGAAACTTTAGGTACTAAACACATAATTTATCCTAATTTATATGATATCAAGTTAGGGTTTTCACTGTTTTTATTAATTAAATTTGAAAATTTTAAGTGCAACTTATACAATATTATTTAAATTGATATTATTTATTGAGTTGTATTAGAAGTTTTTATTAATTAAATTTGAATTTATAATTTAAAATAATTTTAAAATAATATAATTTTGGAAAAATATTTTTTTTTATAAAATTATTACTTAAAAATATTTAAGAAAAAATAAAAAAATAGTTATAATTAAGAGTCAAATGAGATATTATCAACCATCAATTTTAATATGTCACGCTATCTCCTTCATAACAACTAACTATATCTAACAATATAGTGTCTATTCTATATATAAGAAAAAAAAACAATATAACGTGTATTATATAATATATATAATTTAATATCTATTTTTAAATTTCTGAAAGTTCAATGCCCAAAAATGTTATTTTGACATAATTTAGTGACTATTTTTTTAACTTTACCCATTTTTATACTAGATATTTGAATTAGTTTTCATCCCTCAAGTAGGATAAACTACCAATTTTGTCACTCCACCGAATTTATTTTTTGCTCATATTTTAGTCATTAAACGTTTAAAAAAATACTAACTCAATTTTAAAAGATTAATTTTTTTGACCACTCCATTTTTTTAAATAATTAACAATGTTATATCAACGAGATTGGTTTAAGTGGTAAGCAGTTTGATATACTTAAGTAAGGTCTCAGGTTCGAGTCATTGTGTAAGCAGATAATCCTCGCTAGGAGACTCGCCCATCAAAACCAGGTGTACGACTTAGGTCGATCCAGATTAGTCAGAGCGAAACCTTGGAACTGGAGACAACCAAAGAAAACAATTAATAATGTTATGATATGACAACATACTCCAAAATTGTTTCATTTTAGATCTCTATAAAAGTTATTAATATAGTCAGGGACAAATGCATGATTTTATGTTAGAGGGGGCAAACTTAAACTTAGGGGAGCGAACTAAAATTTCAGGGGTGAAAACAGATTTTGAATAAAAAGTACATAGAAAGATCTAAAATATATGACAATTGTTGGGTTATGGGGTCCAACGATCACCCTTAGGGATTCTATCGTGTATGGGTGCGATATCGGTGCGTGATTGCCCAACCTACCGAGGCCCACATGTGCCTTGCGAAGCTCTTAGGCCTGTCCGCAGCAAGCTATAGATGCGGGGCTCTGCAATGCCGTGGTGAACTGTGGGGGGTGCCCCACAAGAATCCACCTTGGCTTGAGGGAACCCAGTGATCACCCACTACAAAGATATGAGGTTAAAATGGCACACCTACTTATCACCAATTGGTTTTAAGAAGAAATGGTGACCATTCGCTTCAGAACTCTGTGGTTAAGCGTGCTTGGACTAGGGAAATCCAAGGATGGGTGACCACTGGAAAGTTGTTCAGAAATGAATGACTCGATCCTAACAACTGGTATCAGAGTAGGTTGCATGTTCGAATCCCCCAAGTGTCGTTGGGGGGGGGTGATTGTTGGGTTATGGGGTCTAGCGATCACCCTTAGAAATTCTATCGTGTATGGGCGCGATATCAGTGCGCGATTGCCCAACATGCCGAGGCCCACGTGTGACTTACGAAGCTCCTAGGCCCGCCCGCAACACACTATAGATGCAGGGCTCTACAATGCCGTGGTGAATTGTGGGGGGTGCCCCACAAGAATCCACCTTGGCTTGAGGGAACCCAGTGATCACCCACTACAAAGATATGAGGTTAAAATGACCCACCTACTTATCACCAATTGATTTTAAGAATGAATGATGACTATTCGCTTCAGAACTTTGTGGTTAAGCGTGCTTGGACTAGGGAAATCCAAGGATGGGTGACCCACTGGGAAGTTGTTCAAAAATGAATGACTCGATCCTAACAACAATTTTTAAATTTCAGGGCCGACTGTCCCCACCTACTCCTTCGGTCCATCCTTGAATATAATGTCATTTTTTTTATAAATTTGGGGGTAATATCTGTTAAAAAACTCTCAACAATTGACAATGAACACTCATATCCTTGTCGGTGCTCAAACTCGAGACCTCTAGAGAGAATAAGAAGTCTCTTAACTACTTAAATCGCTTGGTTTGTGCCCAATATAATGTCATTTTGAATTATACGAAAGTAATTTTTCTTATTTTTCCCCTCTCGTTCTCTATCTCGTTGAATTAATTCAAGTTTTAACATGATAGATTTTTTTATATAAAAAATTCGAATTCTTGATTCATTTTTTGAAGAAAAAAGTATAAGTTTATTTGATTCTTAAGAAGAATTTTAAAAATAAAAAATTTAGAATTTTTAAATTTTTTTAAGTAAATTAAAATTATTTAAATAGTTAAAAGTTATAAAGTAATTAAAAAATTGATTGAAATCAAGAAAAGTATTAAAATATTAAATTTTTTAAAATAAAATCTTAAACTTCTTTACTGGGTAAGTCTTTGCTTTTGTCAGTTTAAATTTATTGACGTCCTTCAAACATATTTTTAATAGAATCAGTGTTACATTAAAGCAATTATCTCTTATTGTGTTCCTTTCGACAATTTAAAAATGAAGTAAAGTCTGCACCTAAATGGTTGTAATGGCTCAAACAATTTTTGTCTTGTTATGTCAGTTGCTTTAAAAAACCCCCGATTTTTTTTTATGTAAACTAAGATTCATTGTTTGTTCCAGGCTATCCCTATTATTTTTTATCGTAAGATGGAATCTCATAAAATATAGTTGCTCTAATACAAGATTAATTTTATTAAAATGTGTTTGAGAAACAATAATGGACTCGGATTGACAAGAGTAAAAGTTTATACGATAAAGAAGTTTATTTTTTACATTTTATTAATATTTTAATACTTTTTTAATTTAAATATACTTTCAATTTTATGTCACGATTGGAAGATAAGAAAAGCAAGGAGATGAGATTGAGAATTTCTAAAGAAGGGTTAGAGATTCGAAATGTGGATTTAGAGATTTTTGGAAATGATATAATGAAAGGGAAGACACATGAGAAGCACGAGAAGTTTAATTAGAAGGGAGGCAATACCTGATAAGCTGTTAGAGATGGGCCTGTATATGAAGCCTAACCAGAATAACCACCTGTACAGAGTCGTTAGAAAGAACAAGCCAGCTATGGAATCTAGTACATTGTAAAACAATGTACTGTAGAGGAATGAATTATGAAATCTGATGAATGAATTTTTCTTTTATGAAATCTTTCACATCCTCAATTATATCGCCTCTTTTCTA